ATCAGCCAGGTGTAGTGATGTGCACCTGTAGTTCCAGGTACTCAGGAGGCTGAGGTGGGAAAATTGCTTGAACCCTGAGCCCGGAGGTCAGTGCTGTGGTGAGCTGTGATCATATCATTGCACTCCAGCCTGGGTGACAGAAAGAGACATAGTCTGTAAAAAATAACAAATACAGAGTAAAAGAATTAAATGATTCCCAACAACCCTATGACATTTGTGTTACTATTATTTCAATTTCACAGATAAGAAAACTGAGAAGACAGAGAGGTTAAATATCTTTCCTAAGGTCACAGAACTGGTAAGTGGTATACCAGGACTTGAACCTGGAAAGTGTCTTCTCAGAGCTGTCTCAGGAGGTTGCCATCAGGCTGCCGGCCAGAGCTGCAGTAGTCTCAAGGCTTGGCTGAGGTTGAGAATCAGTTCCTAGGATCACGCCCATAGTTGTCAGCAAGCCTCAGTTCTTTGCTCTCTGTCAGCTGGAGACCTCCATTCCTCATCATAGGAACTTATTTTATCAGTGACTTTTTAAAATGAGATCATGCTCTGTAGGCCTTTTTTTTTTTTTTTTTTTTTTTTTACCTTGCAACATATTGTAACTGTTTTATCATGTAACTGAACATATTTCTAGCCATCATTTTTGAAGGTTTTGGATGCGAATTGCCAACTTGAAAAGGCAGAAATCCTTTAGGCAAATCAGCAAAACAGTGAAATACTCTATCACTTTATCTTTTTAAATTTATACACTAAAATAAGAAAACTTAATTTCCTGGTGTGCCTGGAGACTTCTTTGAGTCACTACTATAACAAAATGAAATTTGTGTTTTTACTGGACAGTAGAGATTTTTTTCTATCACTTATTACTATATACTAATTTTTTTTTGTAGTTTGAAGACGAAATTTATAAAACTTGAAAAAGCTAAATATTCTTTCTTTGGTGCTAAATATAAAGATATGCAAGTTAACATGAATTATTCATTAGTGTAGTGACAGAAAAATACTCCCAGTAATTCAAAAATTATGACTGACTTGTCTGACTTATTCAAGTCCTGTTTTTGTAAGGTGTTGTGATAGTGCAAAATAGTTTGGCAGGGTGGCAGGAAAGTGCTCACCATCTCCGAGTTTCACACAAAGCCATCCTACTCAGAGGCTCGTTATTATTTGTTTATGGGAAGAAAACTGTGAGATTAGCTTTGCATTGTTGGTTTCACACATCATGGTGTATGTGAAATTGGCTTAAAAGAGCCCCATGCCAGTTGTCATTATAAACACAGATCCTACACCTTGGGGAAAAGGCAGCTGATAAGCTGTATGCCTTCAAACTGACGTTTAAGGCAGGAGATCACTTTAGAGAAAATTAATCCCAGTAGGGGGGATCTAAAGAGACCTAAAACTTGAAAAGCAACAACATTGAAGCTATTTCAAGCAGAACTAATGTCTAAATGAAGCAAGTTCTTCATTTTACCTGTTAAAAACGAAGGTTCTATCTTTTTAGCTGTAAGGTAAAGGGGGGTATAGTATTGTAGGGCTTCCCAGTGTATCACTTCCTTAGGGTATCCCTAGTTACTTGTTGTGTACTCTTTATGTTACTGGAGTATGATAAAAACTCATGACAGAATGTCATGATTGTATTCTTTTCCATATTTTCCACCAATATTGTTCATGAAAGAAAGAAGTGAGTTTTGCCTAAATGTTAGTCTAAATCTGCAATGATTTTTTGATTTGGCATAGTTCCTTAAATCCTTGCAGTGGAATACTCTTTAGGGGTTGGATTATACTTTGTGAAGAATATCTCTCATAAACCAAGCCACTTAATTAAATCGCTGTATGAAATGTAAGTCAGAGAGTTATTCTAGGAAGCTGCTATAGTTTCAGAATCTCGATAGTCCAGGACACATTCTGAATTTAATTCTTTGTGTTCTCCTAATTCTTCTTTTTAAAAATTTCGTGTAGCGTAGAATCTGGCATCAGGTGACGGGAGCTATATATTACACATTATTAGGAATGTTACAGTTGACTAGTAAGAATTTGTGACTTTTGAGAAATAAATGGCAGTTGAAGTATGATTTTTTTTTTGTTAAAAAGGAGGTCCAATCTAATTACTCTTTATAATAAATACCATGTCACAGGACCATTTCCATTTATTACGTTGCTTTAAGTGTCACAGGTAGCCACTTGTAAGCACTAAACACGTTGATATAAAAATAAAGCTTCATTTAAAGCTGGTCTTAAGTCTAGAGCTATTTGAACATTTTATTACTTTAATTAAGTTAAATATATAATTTAAAGAACTATGAAGAGTTAATTAATGGGTGAATAGCAAATGGTCCCAAACCATGCTTGCGTGGTCTCCATATAATCGAGCAATTGTACACAATAAAGAGAAATACATGCAGGAGAGTCTATGTATTTGGATATTTTTCTATATGTTACTTTATGAATTATTCTTTCTGAGACTAGTCATATTAAAAGGATATACTTATGACCATTTTAACATTTCAGAGCTTAGTGGAAGTCCTTGAAAGTAAAACTTTCAAGTGCACAGGTACTTCAATTTTGTCTCCAGGCAAAGTATTTACATCAACAACACTTCTAGTTAATAGTTGGGGCTTTCCAAAAGAGAACTAATCAGTGGTTCTATTAATGTTTTCATTTTTAAAGGGCTTTAAAATCAGCGACTGTGTTTTCCAATTTTCAAGAAACACGGTTTAGGCTTAGTGGGAGGCTTGTGACAAAGCTTTCTCTGCTGTGCGGCCAGCTGCAGCCAGAACAGAAGAGGCTTCTGCAGCCTACGATGAAGGCCCTCATTGCTGGAAGAAGGCAGACAGGCAGAGGGACTGTGTCTGGTGTCTTCACTGCTGCCCAGGTTTAGGTTTTGTAGTAGATGCTTCCTATATGCTGTGCGATCCTTATACAAACAATCCTTACAACAGGCTCTCTGAGGAACGCATTTTGGTTTTTTCCGGAGCAGTACCTTAACATCTGAATTCAGTTTGTTCCCTTTGTTTCTGTCTTCCATTCTGTTTATACTATTAGGTTGATGCAAAAGTAATTGCAGCTTTTGCCTTTATTTATTTATTCATTTATTTTTGACATGGAGTCTCGCTTTGTCACCCAGGCTGGAATGCAGTGGCGGGATCTCAACTCACTGCAACCTTTGCCTCCCAGGTTCAAGCAGTTCTCCTTCCTCAGCCTCTCAAGTAGCTGGGTCTACAGGCACGCACCACCAGGTCCAGCCAGTGTTTGTATTTTTTGTAGAGATGGAGTTTCACCATGTTGGTCAGGGTGGTCTAGATCTCCTGACCTCAGGTGATCCACCTGCCTCGGCCTCCCAAAGTGCTGGGATTACAGGTGTAAGCCACTATGCCTGGCCTTGCCTTTACTTTTAATGGCAAACACACAATTGCTTTTGCTCCAGCCTAATAAATAGCCTATTCTGCAAATTAATTCAAAAGCTCAAGACATGTAAGAACGAGTTGTTTACCTGCTTAAAATAAACCTTGTTTCCTTGTTTCTTAGTAGTTGGAAAATTCTGAGGGTTCTTTAGGAAGAAAAGTCCATTATTTGGTAGTTATGCTCTCTTTGCAGGATGAACTAATTTTCCCTCAGCTATATGCAAGCCGTATTTTAAATTTTCCATCAAAATATAGCTCTGGGAAAATTCATGACTAATTTATTCATCACAGACATTCCTTGTTAAACCAAACTACAAATTAAATGAAATTAGAAAGGAAATTACACAAATTGAAGTAGCACTGGCCTGGAAATCAGGAAACAGCCTCCAGTTCCAGTTCTACAACTTGTGAGGCATGTGATCTTGATTTGCTTGATCGTGACTGGATTTCATTTCCCACATATCATTTGTGTGTGTGTGTGTGTGTGTGTGTGTGTGTGTGTGTGT